AATCGGCCTTAAAATGCGGCCTTTAAGGCTGCAGAGCCTGAATTGGGATACAGCCATGTTGAGGAGGTCATTTATCCGTTTAAATCAGCTGTGATGGATCAAGGACACATCTAAACCCTGCAGGACAGCGGCCCTCGAGGCCTGGAGTTGGACACCCCTGGTGTAAATGAAACTAAACTGGTGAAAAACAACCGTTTAAACCTGCTTCTGTACAACAAAAGAACACCTTTGATTTGGTTTTTCTCAAATCCAGCATCCATAACATGTCCAAACTGAAATAAAATGACTTTTATGTCCTTCAGTTTGTTTTAGAGTGAGCCTGATTCTGCCTGTTTTTTTGGGTTTGTTTGTTTGTTTGTTTTTAAAGCTAGCATTTGCTAATCGAGGCTGATTGGTCGAGTAGAGGACTGTAACATGAGGCTATGTTGAGAGGAGTTGGATGGTCTCTGCTCTGATGTTCAGTGAGCAGAGGCTACTTTAGATCATGCTTTTAGTCACCGTCTGACACCCACTCTGTTTGTATTTACAGTGCAGATCAGTATGAAGGGTCCACATGGCTTTATATCAGCGTCCGAATGGCCTCTGATGATGGTAAGAGCAAACACGTGCACGCAGAGAAATTAAAATGATATTTATTTGCTCAGGTATTTAAAATGCTCCTTTCTTCCAGTTCTACATGGTGATGTGCATCGTGTACGTGCTGCTCGCCGTGCTCTGGTTGGTTCTGTCCGCGTGTTACTGGAGGGACCTGCTCCGGATTCAGTTCTGGATCGGAGGTGTCATCTTCCTGGGCATGTTGGAGAAAGCCGTTTACTATGCTGAGTTCCAGAGCCTCAGATATGAAGGCGTGTCAGGTAGACAAAGACGCACACAGGTGGTGGCCCACGTGGTGGCCCACGTGGTGGCCCACGTGGTGGCCCACGTGGTGGCCCACGTGGTGCGTGACATAGCTGTGATGAATATCCTGTGTCACGTGTCCTCCTGCAGTCACCGGGGCGGTGGTGTTTGCTGAGGTGCTCTCTGCGGTGAAGAGAACTCTGGCCAGAGTGCTGGTGATCATCGCCAGTCTGGGATACGGCATCGTCAAGTGAGTTTCACAGCTGTTACTGACGGCTGGCGGGTGCGTTATATGTTTCCACTGTGAGAACCTCTGTAGGAGAAGGAAGGACCGACTCTGAGGCTGATGTGTCTGAAAACCTCCAGCTGTGCAGTTAAAAACCCAGCAGCTTAGCAGATTTATGAGCCTAGTGCCGGTAATGTTATGCACCCGTTTGCCACCAGATGGAGCTGTAGCCCAGCATCATCGTAGAAAAATACCGTAAATGTTAATTTTGGCCTGTAATTTTTTTATTGTTGTTGCAAAAAAGGTGTACTGGGGAAAAAAAAAGCTTTTTGTGACATTTGTCTGGTGGTGTCCTATGTGATTTTATTAATGTGAAATTTGTGCTGTGGCTCCAAAAGGTTGGGAAACGCTGTTCTATGTAATCAGAAGTCGAGGAGCCCCCTGCTGGTCTTTAGAAAGAGTGCAGGTTTGAGGCTCTTATGCGATGGTGTCGCTTTTCAGACCTGGAAACTACATCTCGATGGGTCCAGAGTGCTTCGTATTATTTTGAATCCTCGACGTAAAGGAGAAAGTCTTACCTAACTTACTTAATTAACTTAATTCTTACTTAAATGCAGACCGCTGCTATCGTCAGTTCTGCTGATCCAATTAGAGGACTGAACGGACTCCATTAAAATGTATATAATGCATCAAGGAAAGTTAGAAAACCCAAAAAGAAATGGCGCACAACTCCATCCTCAGATCAGTGCGGCTACGTGATTGGGTTACAGGTTGTTGTTTGTTTACCTGGCTCAGAATCGAGGTCATGTCAAAAGCATACTCTTTGCATTTTTTAAATTTCATTCACTAAACAAAAAAAGTTTGAAGATAAGAGTCTCTGTAGCAGATCCCAGAACTTGCTTGTGTTTCACGGTTTAAGGGATGACCGCCATGTTTGCAGATGGGGAATCCTCCCATAGATTTCTATTAATGTCACCACTGTGGAAATGCAGTCAAGCGGCGAACTGAAAGAACTTTGAGATCCACTGAAAGTGTTTCTGATTCCATCCATCCATCTCCTTCTGCTTATCCGGGACGCGGGCACAGCAGCCTAAGCAGAGAAGCCCAGACCTCCTCCAGCTTGTCCGGGGGAAGACCAAGGCGTTCCCAGGCCAGCCAAGAGATATGATCTCTCCAGTGTGTCCTGGGTCTGCCCCGGGGCCTCATCCCAGTGGGACATGCACAGAACGAGGCACCCAGGAGGCGTCTTTGTCAGATGCTCGAAACACCTCAACTGGCTCCTTTCGATGTGAAGGGGCAGTGGCTCTACTCTGAGCTCCTCCC